TCTATGTAGTTTCATGTTTATTAAAAAACTTTTTCCTCCAACTTAATATATACACTGTAATCTTGAGTAAACAGAAAGAAATTTAATACATCAAGCCAGCTGCAGCTTTCTGGTTAGTATTAAGAGATTTCTGTATAAATTAGCATGAATTAATCCACAACACATCTACTACATTTGTCACATGTAATGCTTGTTACAAAAAGTATTTCACTGTTGAAGACCTGTATTCAAATAAGAAAAATGTAGAAGAATATCACCTGGAATAAAATGTAGACCTCTTTTAAAATCTGTAGTAAATCAGAAAGAGATTACACTCAATTTCAATTAACTCATGCTGTTTTAAAATGCTTTACATGTTTGAATATTTTGGAGAAATTCAAATCTATTGGCAATAGTAGATGTAATCAAAGTAGTGTACAAGCATTCAAACACAGAAACACTGTCAGATAGCTGAGAACTTCCACATGAAAAGATTCACATTCCAAAAGAAAATTAGAACTTAAAAATAAGAACATTGAAATTGTCATTTTGTGTCATTGAAAGCTTTAAAAACATTTTTTAAACATTATTTAGCTACATGTATAAGTTTAAGAAATCATAACAGATTTCCCAGCAAATAAGATACAAAATTCCAGATTTCCCAGCAATAAAATACAAAATTCTATGTAATTCTGGTTTGTGAAATACTAGGCATTTCATTCCTGAAAATTGGTTCTTAAAATATAATTATTAGTCAACCATTCCTACCATGTGTGAATGCTAATTCCCGTTTCTTCCTTTCCAATTCCTTCAGGCCAGATAAATATTCAAGTTCTCCCATGAACAAACATTTTTTGATTGAAATGAAAAACCCCCCAACAAGAAGGCAGGTAAAACTACACCCAGCATTGTCATTATTCAAGATCAGATCAAGATTAAGCAAAGTTGCCAATAGCAATTAACATTAAGAGCCAAACCGAGGATCATAAGAGATCACAGTCATGTATTGTCATTCATGAGTCACTGAATTTCCTTTAATAATTAACATCCTCAGAAGTGTCAGGAATCCCTTGATAAACAGGCCACAAAGCTTCATATTTAAAATTAAAATGAGGATTTCTGGGGATTTCATTGAAAAGAAACATGATACAGGTGTTTTTTAAACCTAATAGGATAAGCCTTTTGCACGTAATGTGACATGCAAACTCACCAAGAAGTACAGCCATATGTACCTTAGAACGTGTTTTATTTACTCTGTTTCTTCAAACAGAATTTGCTTTACTAGCAAACAAATGTTATCATATGCCAGAATAAAATTGCAAAAGTAATTAAAAAACATCTGAACACAGGAAGTAAAGGCATCATCAATGTCAAAAAGGAATCATGAGAAATTGATTTTAAAATTGATCTGTCATATTTTATTGCATCTCTTAAGAAACTGAAAACATCAAACTCTCCATAAGATCAGACACAGTATCAAAGGACAGCTTGTTGGTTAAAAAAGTTAAAAACAGCACTTAAAGACTGCCATGCACTCTGAATTTGACTACACTGAAATATGATGGACCACACAATGGCAAAATTTTCCTTAATTTCAATGCTAATACTGTTTGCCTCAGTTTATTCAAGGTCTCATGCAAAAATTTTTCAACATTCTTTTGGAAGGTAGTAGATTCAAGTATTTTAAGCTCTCCATCTTATCAATTTAATTCAATTTGTTGACAGCTTCAAAATTATTCCTTTTCTGATCTATTGCTTCAATTATTTTTTTGGGTGGTTTTTTCACCCAAGAGAAATATTACCCTTGGAGACCCGAAGTCAAATTATAAAGTAGCCAGAAATTACTACTAACAGTGGTTTTGGTTTGACTTTGGCAAGGATTGAACTAAACTGTAACCTTGAAATGAAACTGCTGTTGTATTTCTTCTCATTCAACTATTTTCCGTTGGGTCTCCAAGGATGGAGACATATAAAATGTCTATTGTTACCTCTGCCACCATAAAATTAAATTAAAATACTCTTCACACATAGTAACCCTTGATATTTAAAAGTACAGGTTGTGCTACAGAAAGTAAATTAAAAAAACAAACCCCACTTCACACATTTCTTAATGGCTTAAAATTGCTTCCAATCATTAAAGAAGGACAGCAATTAAAACTAATAAAATAGAACCTAAATTTTCTTACTGTTTCATAATAATTAGAAATAAAAAATTAAAACTTCTTTCATTGGCAGAGTATTCTTTGCATAAAAAAGTAAACAGTTATGAAGTAACCTAAGAAAGTTTACAATTTTCTTCTGTGCTGGTCAGGAAACTATTGAAAAATTAATGTTGTGGAAGTGAGTAAACCTGGGTTTCAGGGTGCAAGGACTTCAGAATGCAAGGGCTATGATAGAAGTCAGTTATCAGTGGTCTACCACAGCTTTTCAGATCTCTACCTGATGTCTTTTTAGCTTATGAACTGGCTTTTGTGTCTTGGTTTTGCCTAACTGCCATTTTTTCAGGCCTATCCCTATAACACTTTCCACATCCCTCTATGGAAAAAGTTGTTGAAACCTCTGAGGGTGACTATGGTGTGACAAAAACAAATAAAGAGATCTCTTCTCACAGCAAAAGGGATATGGTTTCCCCCCCCCCCCCCCCCCACTTGCATCATTACAGTTGATTTTTATGAATCAAACAATGTGAGAGTAACTTCTCTTCCGCATAAATGCAAACTAATTAATGGAAGGAGCCTTACCAGATGCAAGGGTTTGGAATTAGGGCTGTGTTAGGTTAAAGGCTGGATAATGCCAAGCACTGAATATACCTCTATCCAGTGGATAGAACAGCAGTATGTTTTCTAATCACTCATCTACTGGATGGCATTTTACCTGTTGGATGGCATTACCCATCTACCCTGTTAAAAATTGTGCTGAGACCAACAACACTGAGCTAGAGTACAAGAACCACATGTTTGCAGCATGTAGCAATCATTACTCAGTGGACAAGTGGAAAAAAAACTCAACAACTAAGCTATCCAGTGTATATTACATTCTCATTTCATTTGGAAAAACACTCAAGCAGGAAGGTACTGAATGCAAACAAAATTATCACAGAGGCGATACGAACTCTCATAGCAAGCCCAGTTGAATTATATCATGTAATGAATAATAACTGGCAGAATTGAGTTGAGGGAGATAGGGCTAAATGGCTCTACTGCACCATATTTAGAAGTGTCATGTATTACCCTTATTATCCTAAGAATCAATCAACAAACAGAACTGTGTTCATTTATGTGGTCTAAACAACACTGCTACATTTTGAAAGAAAGAGGCAGCTTTTGAGCACAAACCTGTCCTCCTCCTCTTTAAGACTCCTCCTCATAAGTAACATTTTTAAATTTCATACTTTGTTTTCATTCATGACAATAACAAAGAAAATAGTTGGAGAAAGCTTGATTGTACACCAGAGTGAAAAGTTTAAATTGTTCCAGTTTCAACTTTTGTTAAGTATCCAACTACTGGGGTCAAAGTTATCATGAAAACCTTGAGGAAAACTATCATAAAAACAATTTTATAATTAGGACTTTTGAGTAAACTTTTTATCTTGCTGAAATAAGATCTTTGCAGGTGTGGTGTTTACCTCAGATTTGGCTTTAGCTAACTTTAAGTTCAACTTCAACTTTCTACAATTTACAGGCCAAGCGGTGTAATTCTAAACCACACTTGTAAATATCAAGTACCGATACCTTGAAATGATATTGGATTTAGCATCTTCTCTCTTTAAAAAAAGAATCCTTCAACCATAAACCTTGGCTTATCAGATAGATTTCATCTGATGTTATCTTGTAAATAATTCACATAAAAATTTCACTTAAAATGCTCACAACTGAGAGATTATATTGGCAGCACTGGATAATTTTCTGAGACTGATCCAACAGGTACCAGAAATGAAACCAAAACATGCAAAAAAGAAAAAACTGAAAAAATTACATTATAATACATCATAGCCTTTAAATAATTATGCATAAATTATAAACAAAGCTACACAAGCCTGCTTCTTTTAAATATTTACATTCTTGTTGTTAAATTAATCAAAGTAGCAACAAATATGAGTGTCAAGTTTGACAATATTGCTTTTCCTTATGCAAATGTTGTGTCTGAAAAAAGTAATTTTTTTCTCTTCCACGAGGCACAGCTACATCCAGGCAATAAATTGAGTCAAGACTTAACTTTAGACTGGCCAAACTTCTTGTAACTGATTTAAATTTCAATCCAATTGCATTTTAATGATTAAAAAACAGCTTAGAAGATTTTCTTTGAATATAATTATGTGTGGTTATAATATTATGTCAAGGGAGTGTAGGCCTCCATCATGCAAACTCAAAATAGCATAATTTTTTATTGACGTGGCACAGTTTGAGCCAATCAAAGAAAGTTTATGTTAAAACGCTTTGCCTATCTTAGTAAAACAGGAAATAACCACAGAAAATTTTGAATCAGAAGCATAACAAAATTGCACTCAAGTGCAAAAACAATATCACACTATTATTCCAAAAAAAGGAAAAGGAAACATTTAAAGTGGGTGCAGCACTTGAAATGCCATACCAGACATTCACTGCAAATGAATAATGATTTATGGACAAGAGACAACTTGGAAAACAACATACTGTATAGAGACAAAACTGACCATGGAATGTATGTTTAACTAGAACATAATAAGATTACAAGAGAGGTGATTAAAGATTTCCTTATATTATTTATATGTAATTATATACATGTGTAGGAATATCCGATTTGAAATTTTCACATTTCAAGAGCCATGAAGCACTGGTAGTTAAAACCACAAAAAGCAGTGATATACGTTTAAAGGTCTCTTGGAACTAAATTGTTTGAACACTAATAACAACTACAAACAGACAAGCTCTTGAAACACAAGATTCAAATATCCTTACAGACTTATTTTGAACATAAATGCAACTAAATTGCTTGGAGATAATATCACTGTTCCTCAGCTTAGAACCTAAGACTTGACTTACCATACAACTGCCTTGGAAATTTCGATGCTCTTCTTGAAGTTCATCAGCAGAGGTTGTATCATTTCCAATTTCGGCATAATTCAGTAAAAACTCCTGATGATTCTCCCTTATCCATACCAGCATCTGAAAAACAAAATTGGCAAAAAAACCACCACTGAAATATTGGATTTTGCCTCAGGATGATTTGTTCACAGTGACAGTTTCAATATAATACTTGATGAGTCCTGACCAAGCTAATTTCCAATCCTCATGGTAATAATATTTCAATATTGCACTTACGTCTGTGAAAGCAGAGCCATTTTGCTCTGCACACACGAGACCAGAAGAAAGCAACAAAAAGTGAAAAAATGATGTCTCAGTAAACTTATAAATTCTGAACACAAAAAAAAAAATCAGCTGGCTAGTTAAGAAACTTAATTTCAGAAGGAAATGGCCTCATCTACTTGTCAAATAATGTCAGAAATATTCGAAAGGATTACACTGCTGATCAAACAGAGAGCTAACCAGTTTGAAAATATTATGAGTGCAGCTGTTGGCAAATTGTGCACCAATAAAAAGCCAAATTTTTCCATAAAATTTACATTTCTATATGAACGACTGAGTAAGCAGAATTAGCCCTTAAAGAGCTTCTCTTTTTTTTTTCAGTAGACATAATTCTGTATCACACCTGACCAATTTCCCATCAAGAAACTAAATTTGAAGTTGGTTCCTCTACTACATTTTACTGCAAACCTCTTGATCTTCTAATCACTACAATTGTTGGATATTTTTAGAAAAATTGTAGTGATCATAAAAAGAAAAATATTTAACTTATTATATTCTAAAATAAAGAGTTCCTGAACCTTTGGCCAACATCCTAAATCCACATGAGCTTCAAAGCAAACAGGATGTAATAGTTAGGTTACCATGGCTTTGCACAAAATTTCAATTCACTTCAACCTAGTAAACAAAAACTCCCCCGACTGCAGAGCCATGAAGTTTAATAGCTGTGATTTGTAAAATAAAAGAGAGCTTGGTTTGAAGGCAGAGTATTCTTTAAAAAAAAAATATTTAGCACCAGCAACAATCACCCAACCTCAAAGTATGGCTCATGCAGAGCATGAAATTAAACTGCAAAATTACTGCAAACATTTTACAAATTTTCAAGGGTTTTTGTTCCTCACACACAATACTTCAAACACCTGTTAGGTTTGCACATTCAAGTTAATCTCTTATGAGCAAAGATCTTGTTACAGTGCTCAATTCTGGTTTAACACTACCCACCCTCTGATATCCTTGTGTTTAACCTTTCGTGTAAGGATTATTAAATATAAGTTGACAAGAATACAGAAGGTTTTACTGCTTACTGACCAACTGGTACGTAAATATTGTGCACTTCTATAGTTAAAGCGACAATCTTCTGGCTTCCTAAACCTCTTCACAATAAAATCACCATAAATAATCTGTGTTGTTCTGCCTTGCAGACTAGCTGTCTGATCGCAGACTACGACCAATAAATTTTTAATGAGCTCTGTCTGTTTTTGAAAAATTGCAAATTTCTGTACTTTGTTGACAATCTCTCTGTGCTGATTGAGTTTAATAAACGGCATTCTCAAAGGATAGAAAGAAGATCCTGACAGATCAGATAATAATGTCCTGGGGTTTGTGGAGAAAAAGGAAATTACACTTGGTATTGAAACCACTGAGGCTGCAGGTAATGTCGCAATTGAGCTCACAAAGCACAAATTAAAATCATTGTCATTGAAAAACCAAAACAGATTTTCTCAATTTCAAAGAAGCAATCTCCTTATCAATCAAGCTGGACCCACAGGAATCAAAAATAAAAGACAATGACAACATCAGTAACTAAACCACAATCTATCATCCTCCATTTTAATTAGAAAAACTCCAAACATGACATTTTTGCATGACAAACAAAAATAAAATAAATAAAAAATCCAGCTAAAAAGGGTTGATCGGTGTTAAAACTGCATAGTCTCACATTAACCATTCCAGAGCTACACAAAGAACACAAAAACACCACAGTTTTATCACATGAAAATACCATTATTGGGATTAAAGGATTTACAGAATAAAAGCAAGATCATGAAGCTCTGATAGGCCTATACAAGAAAAACAAAGGTTCAATGGCATCTGTTTTAAGCCTTACTATGACAACTCACCATATCCCCTGCTAAGAAATAGAACCAAGCTAAAAGCAAATAAACCACAGGATTCACTTAATTAACCAAGGAGGGTTTTTAAACATCGGTAAAAACCTCAAAATGCCACTTTACTACATTTTCTGAGAGCCATTTAAGTGTTAAGATTTTATTTTGATGTTCTTATCAAAAGTATTTAAATTTATGACATCAAAGAAGAGTTTGTATCTATCAAATTATCTTTGGGCAAATAATTTTCTAAAGTTACTAAGTCTAGGCAGAATTTTTTGAACAAGTACAATGATAAAAAGGAAAAAAAATAGTGCACCTAGCTGCATACACTCTCATGCTAAAAAGTTTCCTCTATAGAAAATAAGTACAATTTTTTCATGTATTTCAAAATACTGAATAACATCAAATTTTTAAGGAAAACTTTTCCCAATGATGGCTGCAAAAATGAATTTATAGAATAAAAGAATTCTTTCCTTTATTTTCTAAATTAACCACTTATCACAACAAGCCTGTTGTTTTGGTGTTTGAAATTTATATTATCTACCATACAGTTTTCACAAGCTGTTGCAGACCAGAGACGACAACAACAAAAGAAAAGCCTTATCACAAGGTATCTATACACAATAAATTAAGCCCCAGGCAATCTCCAAGATTAAAAGCCATTTTCTACGATCAGAATCTTTAGAGAACATGACTGTGCAATTACATGCAATGGTACAAAACTAAACCTGTGTCAAGAAGCCTTTGATGTAGAGAGAAACACAATCCATTTGCATGCATCGACACAAAAAAATTACTGAAGCTACCTTGCAAATTAAATGTCAGGCTTCCTAATTGTCCCACTCAACTGTCTAGTAATTAAGTATTACGTCAGCAGCAAATTTCTTTAATCAGGAGTCATTGCACAGAGAAACTCTACTTTATATCAAAGCAGTACACTTCATTTGAAGTTTAAACTATGATATTGACAGCGCACCTCCTGAGAACCACATGCACTTTTCAAAGATGTTAAGGCAGAAATAGAGCGCTTTTCTTATTTAAAAACTTCTTACTCAGAAGCCACAGTGCACTGTTTATAAATTGGCCATGAGAAGCATAAGGGATGGTATAGTTATGTTGTGATAGTGATAACGTCATGCTGTTGAAAAAATGGTTGGGTTTCTATAACTTTTTTCCCATTGGCTGTGAAGGTGTAATGAGGAGCTGTGCCCAGGAAGAGCAGTAAGGCAGTAAACATTGTATTGCAAGTCCAACTGAAAGAACTGTACATTTTTCCACTTTTAAACATCTGACTCACTCAATGTCTCTAAATAAACATATTATTTTAAAGTGAAAATCTGTGAGACCAGTGACTACATTGTTGTTGCTAAAAGTCAATAAAAACAATAGCATACAAAGCAATTCCTTCTAGTGTATTCCACAGCCTAATCCTCATAATTTTCTTCTGTCAAAATACCAAAATAAAAATGTGCTCTGATGATTCTGGCTTGTTTTGATGCTGCTGATATACATCATTAACAAGAAAGAAAATGTCAGCTGAAGTTTTGAAATCACTTGGTCTATTTCAGTTGATGGTCTTTCCACATAACTTAATAAAATTTTCAACTAGAACAAATGAACTGAATCATAATATTTCTGTGAGGATTGATAGCCCTTAAACATGTACACCAGAGAAGGAAATTTAACCCCAAGTCATGCTTTCAATTTGCATACTGCTGAATTTTAATAGTGAAGTATACCCATATCATGAAGAACAAAGGAATACCTTAATGGAAATAAGAAGTGGGTTGCAATCGCTTGAGAAAAAAAATGATGCAAACAAGAGATGAATTTTCAGCAAATGAGGAATTCAAGGATAAGGAACAAATAATATTTTGTACAGATTTTCAAATACAATCTGTCAAAAAATGTCTTTACCTTCTCAGCATCTTGTTGGAAAACACGGTACTGGAAACACTGATCCAGTCTCATCTTCCGCAAGTTCCATAATTCCCTCAACTTTTGCCTCTTGGTATGCAAGCCTTCCACTAATTCCTGTATCTGTAGCTCTGCTTTCTTCACATCATCATCCGTTAAAGTATCTTCAGAATCTTCATAGCTTGGATTTTTTATAGTATTGCGAATTTTTTCCCCCTCCTCTTGCAATAATTCCACAGGTGCTTTGATAATCCATTTTTTCACATGTTGATTGTGCTTAATTTGATCTTTGAGACCCTCAAGAGTATCAGAAAAATCTTCCTTGTCTAAGCCATCTTGAATTTCTTCTAACTTGGCTAATAACGATGAGGCCTCATACAGAAATTTTTCCAGTGCCTGAAAGAGAAAAAGCGATACCTTATACATATCGTCAAAACTCTTCATCAAACAACAGCCAAGCTCATGCGGCATGATTTTATTTCTTTATAACCTCAATAAACATGTACTGAAAATGGTTTTGACAGCATACTTTTTGTCACTATTTACCATCATGTTTTAATCATATTTGTTGGTACAACTGATTTGATTTTGGGAAGATAAGACCTAGTGTTATTTTCCCAATGCCTGTCCATAGGTCTCCTTCACCTGTTACTACGGAATATCTTGTTATAAGCCAAAGCCCATTATCCAATCAATTAATCTTATCTGTTTAATTAAATTCAAGTGAGTCTACAGAATACAAATCAGTGTTTCAGGGAGATAAAAGAATCCAATTTTCTCTTTATAAAATATGAAAGAATTTATCTTAAAAACCAAAGAAATTCAAAGTAACCTCTGTCAACATAACACTAACTGCAGTTTAGTTGTGAGTTGTCAGAAGAATAAAACAGGATATTGTAACTTTCAGCTGTGTGTCAACAGGTGGTATTGATCTCAGGCCTGATATCAAACTATCTCCCTTATTTATCAGTATTACATCAGAAATTCAGTCAATTTGCTTTTTCTCATATATAAAATGCAAATTCACACACAAAAATATAAAAGAGGACTGCAAACTTGGATACTTGTCTAAATCAGGAGGAATATTGGACTTCTTCATAAAAAGACATTCAATTTGATCACCCAAAAACCACTTAAATTATTGCAACTGTTTTTGCTAATTTCAGTCATATCTCATATAGGAATTGACAATAACAATAATATAACATCTCATTAACTCTGAGGAGAAAATCAAAACATTCATAGGATATCATGATCTGCAATGTACTTGAAACTTTTCATCGCTTGTGATATTCATTGGAAACCTCTGTAATGATGTACATTTTTCAATACCATAAATATACCAAGCTAATAAATGATGAGAGAGGAGAGAATATCTACTGAAAATTGGGAATTCCTTTCAAGAAATACACCAATAATATTTTTTAAGTTCTAGAAATTTACGAACCACATAGATGCCCACAATAAAGACACGCAACATCAAAAGAACCATTAACCAATAACACGCATCTGCATCTAAGGTAGAGATTGGCCAGTTGGTTGGTAAGATTCTAAGCCTTTGGTAAAGTTTGTAACTCACCATTCGCATGTTGATCCACTTGGAATGATCATACTTAAAGGTACCTCCCAGATCTAAAGTTAGCTGATCAATGTCGATAAATTTTGTGAGACCATCCAGAGATGTGAGGGCAGTCTGAAATGAAATATCACATTTTTCAAATTACCATGTGATCATCGTCTCAGTAATTAATTACTACAACGAAACAATTCAAAATTAAAGGTATGCTGTAATACCTCTTAAAAACTGAGTTCAGGGTCTACATGGTAAGTTATGGGCTGAGGTTCCGTAACTTACAGTGTAGGCCGAGAAAACAGGGATAGTAAGATAAATATTATATCTCTCAGTTCAAATAGAGGGGGAGATTTCAATACAAACAAACATTTTAATTTAGCAGTATAACAATGTGCACTTTGATTGGTCAGCCATATTTCACTGACCAATCATAGTGCACCCTGCAACTGAGAGATAAAATAATAACATGTAAAAGTCATCAATAGATAATTCATTTCACTTTCAGCTTGAGGTAAAAACATTAATGTGAATTGTTTACAAGGTGCACAAGTCAATGTCTAGGAAAAAAAACAATTTAACATGAACAGTGTAAATATAAAGGAGAGAAGGAAGAAAGGGAAAAAGGAAGGATAAGTGAAAAATGGAGTTTTTTTTTTTCAACTGGACTTTGTTCTGCTCTTGTAAATAACAGGTGCACATCTAACCCACCAGAAGTCTTTTTATATCAGTTATATTAAGTATTATAACATAGCTGGCAGAGCCGTGCAATCAAATTCAGTATACATAAGCATGCTTAAAATCCCGATAGTGTACCCTGATTGTGTGAGCAAATCACTTCTCCTGAAATTTTTTTTTTCATGTGAGCAGCCATTGTTAGCCCGGGGAAAAACAATATATTTTGCAACAATAATGGATACAAACAGAGACTCAGCCCACCAGTCCCAAAACGAAGACAATTTTTGGGCTAGAGTTGAGGCAGAAAAAGAGAAAAACAACGGAAAAGGAGACTCAGCATCAGCGCCATCATGATTGCTTCACTGTCCGACTAGCTACGTTATAAAACTATTGGTTCATGCTTTTAGCCGTGCACTATCGAGTTATGGAGCACATGGGAAGTTTGGAGAGCACCCAAGAAGCATAAGAGTCGCCCAAGGCAATAGCCGAGGGAACCTCTAGCTTCTTGAGTGCTCTCCAAACTTCCCATGTGCTCCATAACTCAATAGTGCACACTAAAGCATGAACCAATTGTTAATTAGTTCAAGAACAAATATGTTCCAACTAACAGCATCTACATATAAACCTTAGTTTACAGAACATATCAACATGAGTTACTATAAACAGAAATTTTAGTGGTAAGTATCAGCTATTGTTCAATTTTCATCATACATTTACCTTGATTTACGAGTGGTAATGCGTAAAAGTGAATTTATAACATAGAAATATAAAACTTAAATTTAGCATAGAGTTGAAAGAAAATTAAACATAAAATGAACTTGATCTGTGGTGTAGTGACACCAAAAATCAAATAGCAAGTATTTTACTATTATGCAATGAAATATGTACAACCAACAGTTACTATAAGTAACTTGTCATCATCACTATGCTGAAACCAACATTCAAAATTCTTCACCAGATAGAAAAACCTCAATCTTTGTACCTATTGTAGTATTCAGAACTTGTAGTCAAATCCCAATAGCACATACAAAATACATCACGTATTATCTCCACAATGTGGAGATTATGACTACACCCACTTAAAAAATAACTCCTTTTCATGCCAAAGATATCCCACTTTAAGGAGATTACAGATTAAAGCTAAGTTTTAACATCAATGTTCAATTTAAAGCAACAAGACATGACACACAACATTACGCACAAACCATCGAAAATAAAATATTACCCCACAAAAAATAAATAAAAGTCTGCACAATACCATATTTCTTACAATGCTGAGAAAAATATGAGAGGATACATGATGTATAAAGCCTAGCTGGAGGATACACCAACATTAATCCAAGAGAGATCATATGATACACATCAAACATCATCACATGCCTTGAGAAAGACATCACTAAAATCAAAGGAACACATAATCTCTGGTGCAAATCATTTTTCATTTAACAAACATCACCTGCAAAGGTTAATTTTGATAATATGCAAAGAAGGCTAAAAAGAGAAATTGGGGAAATCTAGCCTGATCGATTATTTTATAAATTGTGAACAGCCAGCAAAAAACCCTGCTGTGCAATCAATTGTTTCCAATATTTAGTGGCTAGTGGGTCACAACAATAACCAAAATGTTGAAACACATGCTGAGAAAGTCTGAAAACACTTTTTAAAAATTAACCTTATCCTCATGGAAGAAAAACAAGTTTTTTTAAACATAGTTTTGCTTTCTACTTTCAGTGAGCCTTTGGAAAGCTCAAATTAAGAGAATGGTAACCATGGAAATGGAACTGTGGAAAGAATCGGTAGAAAATTGATTTCTACACTTTTGAGCAGGTGCTTCATGTAATCAACTGCACACTATTTTGAGAACATACTTTTTAAAAAAACCTACAACTTAAGCTCTCCAAAAGGACTCCTTTTTAAAGATACCTACATTTCACCCAAATCTATCCATGCGTAATACCTCAAACTCTCTAGGAAAAAGAGTGTGACTTTCAATTGGAAGTATATGACAAGAAATCAACTCCTGTGATAATGATTCATTCAAAAGAGTTCAACTTTAATGAACAACTGGATGTTCCAAGTAATTACAGAGTTTAAATTTCTTCCCAGTCATCTCATTTAGACTTAAAGAGAAAAATTAATCTGAACAGGAATTAAACTCTAGCCATCATTTACCCTAAACTGATAAGATCTTAGGCCCCTACTGCATTTCAACTAAATTGTTACAGTCAACAACATACAGTAGAGTGGTAAACAATATGAGGGCCACATTCTCCATACTGTCCTCTATAGAGTGTCTAAGGTGCTGACAAGGAGAATTTGTTTGACAATCACAAGCTAGTCAGTGATCATTTCCTTCATTCTCAGAACCTTAATTTTTGATTCCATGGCAGTGATGTAAGGAGAAATTACATGCTAGTCAGTCCTAGGAGTCAAAGGGTCAAAAGAAGATATCCATCACAAAAACTGTAATATAGGTTCCACCAAACAATACCAAAAAAAAAAACAACAAGGAAATTCTTTAAAAATATAACTGCCTTTTAAATTATTACAATTTCAACCTGGAAATAAAGTAGTGCACATCACTTAATAAACTGAGTTTGGCAAAAGCTTAGTGCCCGATCTTGTCCAGGCAGTTGGTACAGCAAAGTACATATAACTTGACACAACAAAGTACATATAACTTGACAAAGCTACATTGCCTTCAGGTCAGTAAAATATATTTTGGGACTTAAAAAAAAAATCCTTACAGCCTTAACACTCAAATGTACACCTTGACAATACATTTCTAACAAATGCAATTAAACAAGCAAGAAATGATCCTTACAGGTTTTTAGCAATTGCAGAAAAGAAGCCTTAAAGACTCAGGGTTTGACAGATGCTGAACCCCTGCCTCGCAGACTCTAGTTGGGAGCTGATTGTCACTTGTGAGATTTCCGTTGTCATTTCTGGACATAATTCACATGTATGTGTGACAAACCAACAAATTCAAACTCAATCAAATCATCAAAAAAATCATGTCAGTATGTTTACTTAAAAAGGTAACTTTGCCCTTAAGATAACAAAAATTGTACCTTTAGGGAGGTGATACCAAAAATATCTTATCTGGATTTATTAGGGACTGTACTATACTTCATAATAAATTCTTATTACATGTAAAATTTGATGCCTAACAACCAAAGAATAAATTTTGTACATGCAAGATATCATAACTGTAAAGAGTAACTAGACAGAAAAAAATTATTTCAGAGTGAAATTTTATTTAATTAGACCATGTGTTCAAACAGTTTCTACATACTGGTATACACTGCACCAAAAAAGACAAACACCCAGGTCTAATAAACTTAAATCTGTGTATTGAGCAGAAGAATTTGCAAAAATCACAATTTGAAAAAATGTTAAATCACCCCATTTAAAAGCTTGAACATCAAAGAGATTGTCAGATTGGAAAGTGTTGTCACAAACCAGCTGGTGGAAAATATCTATTGTGCCACGAACCAGTAATTATCATAATTGAAATTTTACTGATCTTTACAACCAAGAAACCATCAAGATATAACTTATTTTTGTAATGAATAGCTAAAAAAATACTTACTTCAAAAAAAACTTGCACTCACAGAATTGTGCATGACATGGATAAAATGTTTGCCTCACAAAAAAATGAGTATTTAAGCATTGATATTCTGAGTGCTGATCAAATGTTCACCGAAAGAAAAATTTCAAAGTGAAATTTAGTGGACAAATTAGTCATAAGCCATTGAGTTTGCAAATGTTCCTAACATTGAAAAATCCATGTTACTGAATGAGCCTAGAGATAAAAAATATTACAAAATTGAACATAACATGAACCTTTGATTAAAATGCAATGCCTGTTTGAAATTTAAATGTGTGGAATATCTTAGGGAAATGAAACAGGTCTTGGAGGTCATCAAAATACACTGTGTTGCCCTAGGGCAACTGTCATGACTTACACCGGTTGCAAGTTAAACATAGATTGTTCAATAACTTGTATTTATAACACAACAATACAACAGAACACTCCATCGAGTGCAAACCTTGTATGTCATTCGAAAATGCCAAATGACCGTCATAATGAAATCTTATGGCAACAGGACAGGCAAACACAGTTTGAAAATACACAACATTTCATCACCATCAACAAAGGACTAGGAAAAATATTTATAAACAGAGGAACATGGCTTAAACATACTGCAAATGGAAAAAGTTCATTTGAATTTGAATAATTTAAGTAAAACGAAACTCTGAGTAACACAAAGTGAATAGTAACTTTCGATTGATAAGTCAGAAAACGAGAGTATACAGAAAGAGTGATAAAATATCTCTCTGTTTACTATTTGTAGATGAGTCATGCTCCACTAACCTGAAGAACACATTATAAAATCTTAGGTGCCTTGAAGACTCCAAACATATGTGTTTATGTGTACCAAACGATAAATAACTTGACAGTGAATAAATTTCTGCCCAATTTGCCCCAGAAATAAAGTGGTCAGCAACAGTAGTAGGATTGATAAATCAATAGTTCCACATCAAAAGGCGATCATCAAATCAAACTCCCCAAAAATGGTTTTTGACTGCCGTCTGATTCATTAAATGTGACTTCCTGCCTTTAAATCCATTTGCATAAACCGAATTTAAGTTGATTTGTCTTTGTTTTCATCATAATGGAAAACTTTACATTAAGAAAGGTCATTATCTAGTAACCTCGGGGAACCAAAATTAATGAATCATAACCAATGCCAGCTCGGCATGTGTTTTTCCACAGGAATAATAAAGTACAGCATTTACATGTATATAACCAGCAGTGAATGTGCTGTGGGTTGGAAGCAGCTACTAAAGAGGTCATTTTTTACGCAGATTCTGAAACCATTCCATTGCCACTTCACATTAGACAGGCAAATATCAAAAACAATATGGTAAGTCTAGACTAAGCCTTAAAGAAGTACTCTTGTTCTGGCCTTGAATTCAGCAGACGATAGGAAAAAATAACTATTTAAATAGAAGAAGCCATGACAGACAGATAGGAATTTCAAAGATTTCAGTGAAATATAGATACTTGACATTTGCCCTATCAAGAACACTTGATGATAAAAAAATATATATTTACATACATAGATCAGAATTTAAAAAAAGGAAATTTAAATCCAAAAAAACATATGCTACATTTTACTAGAAAAATGAAGGTCACAAAATGATATGAAAACAAGATACCATCATCATGACTTAAAACAAATATATTCAACTTTCTGCAGTTACATGTTCTCAAGTGAGATCGCTGTGCAAGCTTAGTTTTCTAGTAAGATTTTGTCCTTTGAACACAACAGTTATTTCTCACACAGCAATTTTTCAGAAGAGTTTAGAGAGAGATAGACAAAAAACGTGCTTTTAAAAACTAAAATAGTATTTAGCACAAAGCAACTGAAAAACCATGGTTACAAATTTGATTTACTGGTGATGGATATGATGTACTCTATAGAAACAGCTATAGGAAACAGTAAAAAGAATTGTTATCTTAACTAATCTACAAATAAAAAAAGACTAAAATGGTTTATACACATGAATTACTGTTCATACATGTAAGTCATTATGTAATATCTGTGCATGGTGAAAAGATATACAGCATGTATAATAAAACATCACATCCACAAACATAAACAGCAAATTGAAATAGCAAACTAGCCTTCACAGGATTTAATCAAAATACTCTGCATAAAAGAAACATATATAATCTATGGAATTGTATCAACAAATTTCAATTTCAATGTGGCTTCAATCAATTCTAATTGCCCCTCAAGAGCTTTGCCCTTCTAAAACCAAAACAGAAGTTGGCCACCAAAATTGTTCTATTCACCCAATCCACAATCAAGAACAAACAATGGCAAACATACAAACAATGAAGTGTCACTTGTTCTCTTGACTTATAACTTTGCCATTTGTAACAAATATGTTGTGTACAGGAAAATAACAGAGACAAAAAAGTCATATACAAAACCATCCACGTGAATGCATTTTCACATGGAGCAAATCATACTAACCTTTAAGGTAAAAAATAGAAACCTTTAAATGTTGTACCAACCACACATCATAACTTAACATATAGGCTTTCCCACATTATCACCATGGTAGATAAATTCTTGCTGTTGAAGAGGTCTGAACTTTTCATACAGTTGCACATATTTGTTTATTTTATCGGCAGAAAATCAAAGCCTGTAACACTAAGAGGGGCAAATCTCATCTCTCAGAGACATGATAACCAAATGAATAAGGAGCTTTCAATAGAGAAGTTGTTACCACAAAAATCCAAAAAATGTCATGCAATCCCTCAGAGCCGGGACTGTCCTTAAATTAAATTATCTCAGATCTTACAGAGAACCACAAAATTTCACAAGCACACAATATATAAACAATCAATAACAACACACCGTTTATGTTCTAAAACCACAGCTTTGTGAAAGGCTTTTGAAAGGAAGACTTCTGTGACAGAACATTTCAAATCAGACAGTTTGAACTCTGATGAATTGGGACAATATGTCTGACATAAAAGTTTCAAATTTCACTATGTATAGGCCATTGTTTTTCACCTGTAGGTCATCAAAGAAATCAGGACAAGCAATGAAACTTGAATTGCTAAAGGTGACAGAATTACAAGGCAGTGTGACATCAAATCACATGACCTTATAGAGCATTTTACAGAATAAAGATGTGTTATGTTAGATTTGACAGTAACAAAGCCGCCAGGATCAACTGGATAGCATACGTAATGAGAAACCAGAAGGTAAAATACTGAAGTAATGTGTTGTTTTAAGAGATAACTAATAATAATTTCACATGCCTGATGAAGTGAAACAAAACAAGATAAATTTGGTAGAGGAAAAGTATTTTTAACACATACATGACCTTTGCATTTTTACATGGATAGATAAACTATATGTAGTCTACATATCAGTTCACAAGGAACCTTCTAGAGTGGTCTTGAATGTTTTAAAAAACAAAGATGTTGGAACTTCTTTACAGAAAACAATGATACAACATGAATTCTTAACCACAGTTATCATAACTTGAGTTAATATATGGCAAGGTATCTTGTGGTAAAATTGTCAATATCAGTGTATTGAAGTTCCACCATGCTGTGTCACAGTCAGAATAATACAATTTGGTAGAATTTCAGTACTTAACCTCAAATAACAATTTTGAACTTCCAAATGACACTCTGCTTCGTTCCCAAAATCCGTCAGGTTTCAGAAGGTAAACAGTATGAATCTTAGCAATAAAACACTCCTGAAAGATGAATAAGAAAATTAAACCCCAGTTAGTGTCACTGCCATGAATACCTTTTGCAAAGGGGAAAAATACCTCAGGCGTTGGAACAGTAAAAAGCTGTGTTACATTTATCTGTCACTGTCATCCAATCTGCCATCATAAATTACAGAAAATTAATCAAAGTGGCTTAGAAAATACTGTGGTCATTTTTGACAGGTTCCTTTGAAATTCAAAGGAAATCCTGATTTTCAGTTCATTAATTTTTTACTGGCTTTTCAAGGATACAATTGTATTTGTTGATTGAGCAAATTTGGACAGACAGTAGTTGGGTCACTTTTTATCAATTTCGAATAAAAGAGTTGCAGAGTTATCATGTTGTATATTTCAATATATCAAAGAATGATTGGAAATGATCAAACAGAGAGAGATCTCTTTTTAACCTATCAAATAACACCACAATAGCTGGTTGAATTACCAACAACAATAATTAATTAACTGACTAATAACTCAAAACATACTTCATTCTGCTTTGTTGAAGGTCAGTTCATTGATTTTACTGAACATTGTTAGAGGGAAATTTCATAATTCACAAAATACAATAGCAGTGTTCTTCCTCAATTTAAGCATGACAAGTTAAAAGAAATTTTTAAACCATTAGTAAGAGCAATCTTTTATTTATTGAATTTTCTAATGTTCCACATGATTTTAGGTGGTAATAAAAGATACTGCTGGCAATAACTATTGATTATTACCACCTGAATGTAATTTGTACATTTAGCTGACTTTACAAAGCTTTCTATGTACATATACATGCAGCTGCATTTATTTACATATCTTACAGTGTAAGAGATCATCTACACAACTTTTTATATTTTTTTAAGAAAGGGGCTGTAGGAAGTGCTTCCGTTTCAATAAAGGAGACGAACAAATTGTATTAGCCAACATCCAGTCCAGTGAAATCATGCAGTGCTCAGTGTAATACTCAGACTTGGGAGTAATTTTATTAAATCCCTCTATCTATTGTTATGGTAATTGTATGGAACATAGACATGCCATTCTAAAGGTCGCGTTGGCCACCAAAATACCAATCCTCAAGCAGGTACAGAAGATGACGACAAAAACTGAACCACAAAGTAACTTGTAAAATATCTCAGCTCAATATTTCAGAAAGGAATTAATTCAGGAACATGGCATTTTGATTATTAAAGACATTTCAATTGTTTCTAGTGAAAGCCACCATGTGGATAAAAGCATAATATGTACAGGCTGCACATGCAATGATGTAAATGAAAAACGAAATTCCACTGTTCACACATGATATCAAAACGCTCAAATTAATACCACTATTCAGTTTTAACCTGGATTGTTAGGGCAATAAAATTAGAGAAATCATTAGAACTCCAGTTATTAACCATTCATGATAAGGAAGTGCTTGTCTGTGCGCAACATCTTTAATTCGTATTAATTTTACAGAAGATATCTTGATTTACACTTAGATGTATCATAAACTTCTTCAAAGTAGCATGCAGTTGATATTCAGCAATGTTCACTCAGAGGATAAGCTTATGCACATTATATTTCCCACATGTCACCTTAGATTACATACCTTACACCGGCAAGACACTTTGCATTATATCATTCAAATATCATATATCATTATATACGATCAAATTCAACAGGATCACTGTATGTAATGGCCAAGTGTGTCACCAGCTTTAGTGAGTAATGAGAATTTTTCATTCAATACCAAGTGAAACAAACCTGTAAAGCTTTTAGCATAGGCTTAACAGAAGGCCATGTGGATCCTCGCATGTCCAGCACAAGACTGAAACCAAGTTCCCTTTCATGATCACTGATAGAGGTAGACAAAAAAAGGTCAATTAAGATTGAAGTTTTAAACAATTTCAATCACCAATAAAAGTTATCCTTGACATAATAATTTCCTCGATGATATCAAAGGTGGAATACAGTGCTCTCATGCACAGGCACATGATTAAGTATACAATTTTTATTCTGTTAACCCCTTAGAATGACTAGCATCTAATTTCTTCCCACAATGTCACCCCTGAATCAAACATTAACCCTTGAACTCCCAAGATCTCATTAGTAATTCTCCTTACTGTCTTCCATACAGTTCTTGTAATGTTAGTTTGGAGAATTTCATATTGGATCAACTTATAATCCCCAAACTGATATTTTTCTTCATTCTCATTACTTTTCTGCTTGATATTGTATTGATATTGTAAGGAGAAATTCTGTCTTGGTCACTCATGGTAGTTAAAGGGCTAAGGTCATGAGATTATAGGAGATGATCACCAAGTAAAGAGGCTCTTGATTGTAATACAAATTCTCCATGTCAGCACCTTAGGAAATGTATAGAGAACAGTATGGAGAATATGCATACTGATGTTGAGGTGAAAAGGGTAAAGGAAAAACATAAGTTAAATGTTCACTTGAAGCTAAATGGAAAATTTTTTTAAAAAAAGCAAAAAAATTTAAATGAAGATTCTCCTAAATTATCAGCTCTCATGTTCTCACCCTTTCCCCACCTCCTCCTATCCCCTCCCCCCCCCCCCACCTTGATATGCGTCATTCTGTGACCTCAGGTCTGACCTTAAGAGATTTTAGCACACACTAATCCATCATCACCGACAGCATTTAATCTCAAGGTATGCATTTAATTGAGGATATAGTTCAAACTTCCGCAAATTTTTTATAAAAGGTGTGCAGCACTATGACCAACGTCATTGTCAAGTATGTGAATCATTATATAAATGCATGTTTTGTCACGTTGCCGAGTTTTTTTTCCCTTCTAACTAACTAACAGTGATGCAGAGCTCCAAGCTTATCTATGTTCAAATCACTATTTGATGAAAAACTATATAACCCAATTCAGCTAGTTTGTGCATTTTGACCAGTCGCAGGACATCAGCTTGTTTGACCATTTTAACCAGTTGAATCAATTCAGCTACTTTGTGCAGTGTGTCCAGTTCAAGCTCTATCTCATTCCGACTTCAGACAACAGGTTGCCTGATGCATATTGATAACTATAGTGCTAAAAATTTGAGTATCAAAATTTTTACTTCCTCGCCAAAACTTGCTCATCTTGGCATGGTCACCAAATAGTCATAGCGCGAAATGCTGGGATGACAGAATAATTCACCTTTTAGATACACAGTTAAACTTCACCTCAAAAAGTACATCAGCTCTGCGTCTTCACAACCTTTTGAGCATGCCAATTTTTTGCACATAACAAAAGTAAGTTGGACTTGGTGCATTTCAGTAAATTTTACAAACCAGAAGGATGTCTATTACAAGTTTGCTACAGATTCTTTCCAACTGGTGAACTTCTGAATAAATTCCATAAAATTTATCTTAAAATTTTATCTTAAAATTTCAACTCTTTGACCTAAATCTTCTCTGTTGACAAAACCTATGTACAGCTGTAATCTTTTAAGTTTAGAATTTATAGAATTTCATGATCACTGTGATAATATGGAATTCTCTAATTTTGATGAATGCAAAGAATTCTAGGAAGTGGTATTTATGAATGAAAAACAATATATGAAATTTAAGAACACTTTAACAAATCTGCCAACACAATATTTGTCGAGCATGCTTCAATCAAATACTACACACAAAAGAATTTGAAAATTATGGAAAACATGTAAACAATTCTTCCTTGGACTCTTATAAAAAAGTTTTGAATTCTATCAAGGTGCTCTCAGCCACAAGAGGTGTTGTAATCCAATTACATAATGCTAATAGGTAGACACATATTTTACAGCCTGGCAAATCTCCAACGTGGAAAAGAGCCCACGCATCGAAAGATATTGTTCAACAAAAGCGTGTCTGGAATCACAATTTCTCATATAATTTTGTTAAAAAAAATGTCTAGCATCAAAACACCAAAAAAGTATCACTGACACATTAACCATTCTTCTCCAAAAGCATGATTAAAATGTGTTCAGGCAGTATGAAGAACAGACACCAATAAATCATACAAATTGCAAGAAATTTTCTATGACATTCCTCCTTACTTGTGATAAAATATAAAAACTATGAAAAGCTGTTGTACTTTACGTTACATTTTGTTTTGAAAAAACCTTGAATGAAACAACTATTCAATGTTGGTTTCAGTGATATCCCACAGATTTTTTAGCCTCTGGGTGATGTATGCAACAGTATGAGGCCTACATAGAACCAAGTTCTTTCTCAATTTACACATCAGCAAGTTACAAAGATACCCCAGAAAACATCAGACCTACACACTCTTGCAACTGAAAAAACACACTTTTAAAGCAACAAAAATAATGTTTTTGTACGATTTTGACTAAACAAATGCCTTACACTTAACAGGTGCATTTAAGAAAATTTTTCTTCATGCAAATTTTGATATTTTGTCAAAAATATTGGTTACCTACATTTACAATCAAGGAAACTTGAAGTCCTTACTACTCTTCGTGATTTACAAGCAAAATTCCTCGTCGGCCATAAAACTTACAGTTTTTCCCACACTGTTTATCAACAACACTTTCCTCTAAAAAAACCTCTTACTACAGTTGTTTGTACGAGGGAAAAAGGTTCTCCAAGAATTAATAATTAACGCAATAAATCAGACGTATGCTGAGAAAGTTCTTAGTGACAGGAGACATTAACCTTGCGGAAGATAAATTTATTTAATAAATGATTTTCTGTGATTTGACCCAATTGTGGGAAAGTTTCGGAAACGTTCTCAGACAACAACAAAATTTATTGATGATTACAATTCACAAAATACTGGCTATCATATATGGTGAAGTGAAAACAAAAGCGAATGGAGAGCTCATGCAATGAGGATAAAAACACAAAAGTCGATAGCTAGTTTGCTTTCACTAAGGTATCGAAACCATATGTTCATTCCGGACGAACACGACAAAGTTAGATTCAACTTTGAGGACAAAAATGATTGATTGCGTGAATTGGTTGAAAAAAATCTAGTTAATTATTTAATGACAGAAATTTTCAAAGAGCAAGATATATCTACTAAAACCACTTGCAGACATAAAACAAAACAAATACGGCAGAAACTATTCAATAATCGCATTTTTCCTTGAGCTCCATTGAGTTGTAAACGCTCTTAAAAACAACAAAGTCTCGCACGGTAAACAGTTACTTCGATCCTTACACAATCCACAATTTTGCTGTCATGCGATAAAATTTGTAGAGCACTTTCCACCACTGATTCTCGACGAAATTATGCAATCACTGAATCATCCTCGATTCATTAATAATCTGCACAAAGAATAAATATAAATCCTCTGATATCTGAAATATGTACCGATGAAAAGGGTCTCTTTGCCTCGAAGTAAACTTGACAGTTCAAACAAAAAATTCTGACAACTCTACAAAGAAGGATTTATGCTATTAGCATTACTTCGCTTGTAGAAACCAGATCCTACAAGAAATAATGACAGCGTCACAGAAATTGTTCACAGTTTTTTAATAGCATGATCTTCAAGTGGATCGCTTAAATTTCAGTGTGGTCCTCTACTCGAGACAGATGCGTAGCCTAATGGTGCGCGTGACAAATTTGTGAACACATCTTTGAACTATGATTTCCACACAATAAAAACAGCCATTAAAATAACCACTTTCCATATCGGAGTCTTCTATCTCTCATCATTATAATCGACTCGAATGCTCTTCAAACTGACACGTAAAATCAACTGACGAGTTTTCCGTCTAAAATCAACAATAATGCGATCGGCAAAAGTGGTGAAGACAACGAACACGATTCTTTGATTACATCGATTGTTTTTTTGAACATTCAGCGGCTATCTCGTCAACAACAAACCAGACAAAACAGTGAATGAAAATAAAAGTTATCAAGGTATCACTAAAAAATAACCCACCTCGGTAAACTGGCGAGGTATGTGAGAACTCGAGCCAAAGAACAAGGTTCGATTTCTGCTGCCCTAGAACGCGCCGGAAATGTTATAATAGGTCCTCCTCTTCGATCGCGACCACCTGAAAAACAAAATTTGCCATAATTTACGACAAAAAGAAGATTTTTTTTGACAGCACTTTCCTTTGAGGTAAGAGTATCAACGAATCACAAAAGCCGCATACAAATTAGTTATCAAAAACCATTAGAGATTGTGGTCGCGCACTAAATTTATTGAAATATCACCATAGTTATAAGACGCTCTCCATTGCACATTTATTTGCTTTACGCGATAAACGAAGTGATGGATTATTGCTTAGATAATTCAAACATACGAAAGGAGAATCGATTAAAACGAAGAAACGGTGAGTGTTATCCGGCATTTTACAACGTAGAACCGTTGAAATTCAGTGATGCTAAGAGGACATTTCAAACGTATTCAAAGCGAGCGAGAACTCACGTCCAATCTCATTGTTTCTTACCGTAGAAAAATGCTATTCTTTGCTGTAACAAGTCAAGAACGTCTTTAGCTCTCAATCCTTCCCATCTTCCTTCTGAGTAAATACGAACAATCCGATAAAAGAGAGGGAGAAACGTAACGGATAAAACATCAGCTTAAAAAAGTTGAATCTAAAATTTACTCTCCGCGTGAGCTACTACTCAAAACAAATATACTCTCAAAAACCCGGCGTTTCCGAAAAGTCTGGAAAACTTTTACCTGAGCCGAATATCGAGGACAGATCACTGTCCGAAGAGGCAGTGGACCAGCGTTCTGGCGTATTCATAGCCTTTTTCATAACTCGTTCTTCATTCTATTCACCTTACGATGACAGTTCTCGCTGGGAGAAGCCATTTTTCACTAACCCCGGTATTGTAGACGTGTGACGTCACGCGTAACGAACGTATGATAATTTATGCTTAATAGACATTCATGTCATTGACAGGAAAAGATTAATATTTTCAGCCTCTTGAAGAAACTTTTTGCGCAATCACTCCTGACTAAACTCAAATTTCATAGGTTTTGGATTTCACCGGAAAATAATAAACTTTTTTTTTAATTTTGCTATCCAGACCACGCAAAGTGATACGTCCGGAGAGAACCCGACCAATAATAATCGATAATAAGCAGGAGAGTTGGGAATGGACTTCTGCACATGCCTCGGAAGTCAAAAAATCTTTCCCGCGAGTGATCTCGCAATTTATATAACGCATACATCATCGCACACTTCACTTACTCACGTCCACATACTAACTAACTCACAAACAAGTTTCTTTTTGTCAGTATTTGGTCCCAACTTAAAACTTTTCGAATTGTTTACGAAATTCGCGTGCGCTTTCTTTGTTGATGAAATAAGAGATCGCTATCTCGCCTCGCCGCAAAATGCTTGTATATGATTCATCTGCTTCAGCTAAAAATAACCCCAAAATGTAGTCATAGGCAAGCTACTGCACAGTTTGAGTTCACCCTAATCAGCCTCGTCTCTCTTCTCTCGAAGAAAAGGCACGGTCTAGAGAGGAGATATTACCCACCAAAAATCCACACACGGATGCGATGGAAAACGAAGTTCCTTATCTAGCAATTGAAGAATACACTATAAGGACTGTAAGAGCGGACCACCGTGGTTTTAAGCTTTCAATACTTTGACCACAAGGGGCTTCAAAGAGTTCTAATACTATTGTGGTTGGCCGTGAGATCGCAGCTTATAAAGTAGAAAACGTACAATAAACGCCTTAACCTTAAAAAGCATGTAAACCTCTTTCTGGTTCAAACTTTGAACGTATTAATGCGCGCGGCATCTGAAAGAAAAGTAATATTTTCGCATTTGAGTTTTTTTAGCGCCTTAGCAAGCTAAAAACAATTTCTTTTCAGAATCATTTATTTATTTTCATTTCTAGAGTTTATCTACAGCCATAAGGTCTGGACGCCGACAAAAGAGACAGCAGAGAAACAACATGTCTGTCGGACTGAGTCGGGGGGTGAACTGCTGATAAACTTTGCCTTCACGCATTATACAGACAAAACAAGTTAAAGATGATGTGCCACGCTGAGTTATTGAAATTTGACGAATCCCCTATCTGTTAACAACATAATGAAGACAAAGAATCTAATATAATTTTCAGAGTAAGTGGTTACTTTCACTGCAATTTTAACTGAAATTTGCCGTTTGTGCGTCGGAGTCTAATAAAGCCTTTTCATTGATTTTCTCCGCCAACACGTTAGGATGTGATGAAATATAAAAATGATGATATATTTGACCTCTTACCTAACGCAAGTAACTGAATATCATTAATGTTTGCCAGAACACCTTTTCTTTGTGTATGCGAGCTTTATCATTGTATCGGATAGAGTGGTTGGAATATTAGGCGCCAAAGTGATCATCAAAACTCAAGTTTCAACCGCAAACAATGCACAAACAAAGCAGCCCGAAAAATAAAAGTGCGATTATTTTAGGAACTGGTAGCAGGTTAAGATTGAGAAGTGGTGAAGTCCATCAGTTTAAAGGTACCAAAAATTGGATGACAGTAAGAGACAATAAGTCCCATGCTGTGACTTCTGTTTAGACTGTTCAGCTGAATACACGCTGTGAAAAGTCTGATCTTAGAACAAATGATTGCAGGTATTTGCAAAGAAAAGGGCGTCAGCTGACGGGATTGAACAAATGCGATGTAATTCCGTCCGAGACGGGCCTGCCCTGTAAGCTTAATAACAGGTGTGAAAAGTAGCGACTATCTTGGAAAGACGATCTCGTGAAGACATTGGGTAAAAAAGGAGTGGGGGGGGGGGGGCGGGCAGCTGAAGTAGCTTTTCCAAAGTTAAGTTTCTCTTGCTGCATAAGTTTGATCAAAACAGGATTTTGGAAAGTTGCGTGTGCTGAGTGTACAAGTTTTCAAGAACCGGAACTTCGGTGTAATGGTTAGCGCAATATCTCGCGTGTCGATTTTACCGAAATACTTCTGGATCTAAACGAATATTTCTGCGCAACGTCCTTAAACACACTTGCACGATAACTCTGTTGCCCTTGATGAGGAAAAGTGATCAGTGAGAACAGAAACCTCACCTAGACCACTAGTCTTCTCAGATGGCCTTGGATCAGTAGCGCGGCAGCCCTGTACCTTCCCTTCTACCCTCTTTAGAAGGAGAAACATTTGTAAAAGAAACAGAAAATTTTACTCGTGATGTCATGTCGAAGAGTTTTGTGACTAGAACACAAAAAGCAGTGGATACCATTTGCGTGCAGCAGTGCAATCAGTAGACCCTGACACGTTTTGAGATGATTGCGCGCAATCGTTATAATTCAGATATTGTAAAGTTAGAGGGAAATAAAAAAAAGTACGTAGAGGCATTTAAAATATCGCTGTTATGTATGATTCAGGGTGCGACTGATTTCGGTCAGAGCTCGTATAGCTGTAAACTTGCGCCGAAACGATCGACCAATCAGAATTCTAATTTAATCAAGTATTACACCATTCGAGTTAAGCGCGGGAAAATGGCTGAGTCATCGTTTTTGATCCAGTTCGTTTTTAATGTCATGAACTGAATATAAAATGTAATTTAACTGAGTATACGAACTAGTTTTGAAGTGATTTGAACTTTCCCTGATAAAATAATAAACAAATCAATTTTTACGCATCATTTGAAGAAAACCATTTAAAGAGAAGCTTAAAGCCCTTAAGGCGTCAGTAAGTGTTTTTCAAATAGTTTCCATCATCAAAAAAAGTCACGCAATGGTATACTATGCTTGGGTTACCCTATATATTCATGAATTAAACTGAAATAATTACATCATCATTATAAATTAGAGAATCAAATTATTAATTCGGTGACTTAGCAAAGCCCACGTTAGAATCAATTTTATTAAAACTTTGCACTATAAGTTCAAATCTGAGTTTGCCTTTCTGTTTATTACACTTTTCATGTTACTGTGAATTTCTTCAAACGTTCCATTTTCTTTTTCATTCTAAACGAACAAAAAACGGGGTGCAGTTTCCGCCGTAAATAAATGTTTCGCCAAAAATACCAAATTTGGTGTCGTAATCTTTCTAAAAAAATTTAAGTATAAAATGATAATCTATTTTCGCTTCCTTGCGGTTAAATGTAAAAGGACCTGTGGGATTAGTTCTCTTTACGGTCTCTGAAAACAGACGAATATTTTGAAAAAAAAAAACCCATATCAGTTTGAAATTATGGGTCTAACTTAAATTGGTAAATTGGTTATTCTCAAGAATGATCTTGAATTACAACAAAAAGAATGAAGAGAATTTAGTGAGACTCTCTTGCCAGGAGCCAAAAAGTGATCTGAGTAATTTACGTGATTGTGGTTTTTTATGTACTGGCAAGCTACATATTTTAAATACTGCAGGCGAGAGACCGGTCTGAAACCTTAAACCACATTGTACGGAAATTAATTGCTTTTTATATTCTTATTCGCGCAGAGCGGTTGGAACACATGAAAAAAGATGAAAAGCAGAGAGAACAAAAGAACAAATGCGTTTCTCGGATAATGGATAATTTCTCTTTAAAAAATGAAAATATGTAACCGTGGAAGGAAGGAACCATGTCTGCAGCGATATTTCCGCATCACTGTTTCGACGAAAATAGATATCAGTGTTAAATTTAATCCACTCAGAAAAAAACTCTTTGAGACATGACCTTGTCAGCACTATGAGTGTTTCGAGAAAGAAGATAAACTTGAGGCACCAGCACAGAACAAAGAAAAATACGATCGACTCTCCAACCAAGATTCAAACATTTTTCAATTACAATTTCGCTGCCGGTCGGTTTCTATCCAATGAACCTCTCAGAACTTGTTAATCAGCACATGTGACAAGCGACCCACATAAAACCAAGATCAGATAGGTCGGCTTTCAAACTTTTCCACGAGTCCGTCTATCTTTTGTTTTAGTAGTGTGGGCGTTTGCTGTACGTGAGAGAACTTTGGTTGAGGTCAGATGACAGGATTCACGTCCATTTGAGTCTCAAGAGACATTGTTTGACATTAAATATAAGCTGTCAGCTCTTCATTGTGCGCAAAGAAGCTGCAAGATGTCAGAAGATGTTCGATGTTTTTGGCTGTGTAAAGAATCATTACCTTTTTACCAGTTTATTTCAGAGAAATCGCTTGAAAAATCATTGGGAAACTTGGTGTTGTGCATACTCACAGAAGGAAACCAATTCAGCAACAATTCCCACTTCGACCTTCTCTATCTTCTATACACAATAAACAATAGATTACAAACAACTGAAATGTTAATGACACTCAGTTCATCTTCTTTCTTCATGTGTTTTTTGCCGTTTTGATATAACACAAATAAATCAAACTGTTTTTTGTGAAAAACTCTGTAAGTTCTTCGTAAAGGTGATAGTTTGTGGGACAAGATTTCTACACAGCCCATTGTACATTAAGTATACAGTTCTTGGAGAAAGAAAACAATAACGAAACCACTAGACCGCTTTGCGACTACCGCTTTGTTTTAAAGTTGTATGGGGCTATACGGAAATCTTTCCGTTGGCGGGGTTTATATACACCAACGCGAAGTTGAGGTCAGTTCCGAGTAAAGATACAAACATATACCACATCTGTTTTCCAAAGCATAAAATATCCAACACGTAGGTTAAGGAAACTTCTTTGATCGCACATGCCCGTGTTTTGCGTGGGTTTTATTGGCGGATAATCCACTTTTCAAGGGTTTACAATTACAACAAGACTCTCGAGCTTCCGGAATAGACCGCTGTTTAAACAACGTGGGCGGAATTTGAATGTCAAATAATCCGCCAAATGTTTTTCAAGTAACCGAATTATGATTTGTCAAAACGGATGGTGCTTAAAATGCTTATGCTTCGTCAAGTTCCGAGATC